TTATCTTAAGTAAAATACACTTATTTAAACTGTGCATGGAATAAGCATTTTATGAGGTATTAAAATTTTTACAGCATGTTATATATAACAGGGATTTTTAACCTTTTTTTTAAATACTTTTTTACAAAATAATCTAGAAAAAATGTCCTAATCGATATACCAACAAATAAATGCACAAAATTGTTAAAATGAATATTGTAAGCACTAAGAAAGAAACATTTTGAAAATATGTTAAAATAAAAAAGTTTTAAGGATTTAAAAATTTTCAATTTTTCAATTTTTTTTTTAAATTTTAAAAAAATTAAACAGTTTAACTGTTTTTTGAAGATAAATTATTGATTATAAGTTAAATGAGCATGTAAAGCACCCACAAAATGAATTATTATATCTTTATTTATAAAAAATGTTGCAAGGATACTGTGACCTCTTAAATATGATGCTCAAAAAATTTTAATGTGTACAAAACCATTACCTCCTGCAACTAAAAGCCTCCTCCAGATTTCTTAAAGGTAGTCCTATCTAACCACTTTGCAAAAAAAAATGGTACCAAACGTATGTTTTAAAATCGCATTGATTAATGAATATAATTGGTTTGTCTTACTTCCTTGTTAACCACCACATTATAATTCACCAAATATATAAAGTAAAATAAATTTCTTTCAGGTATTTTCATAATACAAGTTTATTTCATGAGCGAAACTAATTCACTTTTTAAATAACCTGCGTAGACTACTTTTAAAAACCGTGTGGAGGTGTGGAGGCTTTCTGATGTAGAAGCCTATCACAAAATACAGTAGTTTTTAATTAATTATACTTCATACAAATATATCGGCACGTTTAACAAGTGCTTTGTTTTCGATATTTTACAAAACAAATTAAAATGTTAATTTCTAGTATAATATTTTTAAGGATACTCAAGTATATTTTATTTGCATATCCGTTTATTTAATGTTCGAAAATCTAATTAACTCTCTTAAGAAACCGTTAAAGTTGAATAATCAGAATGTACTTAAAATTGACTTAAAAGTTATATTATCAAATTTTAGTTAAAGCTACTTAACCAGAAATGTTATTAAAGCTTGGCAATTAGCTTGTTATGAAAGTAATAGTCTCAAAATGTTAGTCTCAAAATGTTTAAGTCTCAAAATGTTAGCGCTCACTAATTTAAAATCGAAGTTTGTATCATTTAATGAATTTATGATTAGTGAATTAATATGGAAACAAAACATTTGGACTATTGGAATAATATTCTGTTTTGATAAAAATTTGTGAATAAAAAATACTGATTTATTTTCGTCAATACAAATATCTCTTTTTAAAATGGTATAATTTGTACTATGAGGATTTATACCCCTTTTCTTCCTCCCTCAATAAGATATTTTTTTAATATCTTTGATAAAAATAGCAAATAAGTATTTCATCTCTCAACATGTAACACTATTTGAAACATTTTCAAAATATTTACGAAAAGTTTCAGAAATTTTAACGAAACGCTTAAAAAACGGTCTCATAAAAGGAATCAATCAACATTTTAGTAGATAAATAAAAACTTTTTAGCATTTTTTTAAATGTTTCAGAGCATTGAAAAGACAGCTTTATTCTTTTTCTTTTGTCTTCTTCTTCAGTCTTCTTTTTATTTTCTTTAATTTTTCATCTTCTGAAACTGTTCGAAAATAATAGATCTTTCACCATTCCATTCAACAAAAAGAATCGTTTCAGGTGTTTTGCTTTATTCTTTTTCTTTTGTATTCTTATTCTTCAATCTTCAGTTATTTATTTATTTTTTAATTTTTCATCTTCTGATTAACTACAAAACTATTCGAAAATAACGTATCTTTCACCATTTCATTAAGTAAAAATAATCGTTTCAGGTGTTTCTCAAATGTTTTTGTAAATTGTAATCAATGTTTTGCTCTTAGTTGTTTCCTTTTTCAGATCAACTTCAAAACAAAGTGAAATTAGTGGATATTTCCAATTTTAATTAATTATTAAAAACGATTCTGGCATTTTTGAAGTCTTTCTGTCTGGATTTTGATATTGTTCTCCGTCCTTTCCTCTTTTTCTATTTTCCTTTCAGATAAACTTTCAAAACAAATAGAAAATAGTGGATACTATACGTTTTAGCAACTAAATAGAAAGGAGTCTGGTATTTTCCAAATTTCTTTATACACTGAAAATATTATATACTGAATAATTTCTATGAACACTTAGATATAACATCAATATGTACATACATATTTATTTTTACCATGAAATGTACTATCCTTTATTTGAAAAGCTAAAGTTTCAACATAGAATGGTAAAACACGATTTCTCTTTATGCGGTTTGCAAATTATGTTGAGATAGCGAGTCATAGGACTGTCACTGAATCGATTGGAAATCATGTCCTTTCCTACATTTTCTTTTCTCAAAATATCTTTTGATGTACGATGTGATAGAGACTATTTATTATTATTCCCATTCTCAGTTGAATGTTCTATTTGAGATAGAATAGAATAAGTATATCTACCACGAGTACAGCTTGAAAGGATTGTAATAGATAAAAGTGAGAAGCAATAGATACACATACATGAAAAAAAGTACGTTAAAATAAATTAGCTTTAACACAAAACGAATTAAGCCTTACTTTGTAATGACCACATAAGCCTACATATGCATGTGCAACAAAAATGAGTAGAAATATAAAAAAAAATTATAGTTAGCTGTAGTAACGAAACCAGTCTTGTTTTGTTTTTAAACTTTTCTTTTCTTTAAGAAAAGTCATTAATATCTAAAAACTTTTCTTTGGTGCTCACTTTTTACTACTTATATTCAGTATTTCCATTCTCAATCCTTTCCGCAATTTTTGAATGGGAAACTATAGTTATTGTTGTCGTCATTCATTAAGGCAGAGGGGATGCGATTGTTCTTGTTTTACAGTGGCGCAATCCATAGCCAAGAATTTGACTTCTACCACACCCATACGTCACAACCGTTTATATTGTGGACCCATTCAGTCATCCACAGATCGTAATTTTGATCTGAGGCGGAGAACGAGCGATCCCCAAATCAGTAACCTCAGAGGTATAATTTGTTATGAGAACATGGAGGACTTTGTAACCCGACAGACTTAACGTGCACCATCCACCATTTACTAAACGGGAATTCTTCAGTCAGCTGTATTCGAACTCCCGTTCTCAGGAACGAGAGTCCAACGCCCTACCAACCAGGCTATCCCGCCCCGAAAACTATATTAATAGTAAAGATTGTCCTCATTCAAGTAAACTTAACATAGAAATTTTCATTTGTTTCTATGTGTACGTTATGTCCTCTAAAAATATTCCATTATATGTTCCTTCTGAATATATGAATTACAATGCATGTCTGAATATAAAAGCTCAAAAGCACATCCCGAGAGTAAGTACACTAGAGGTGAATTTGTATTTCTGATCCTGATACCGCGGCGAAAACTGGCTCTTATGTTACGAAACATTCCTTCGCTTCATTTTGATCTACTTGATGTTCATTTTCAGCAATATTATCTTGATATTGCTCAAAATTCATACCTTTGAAGCTTTTTGAACATTTTTACTCTGCAATGAAATACTATGAAACTAATTTCTTCCTTATTATACCTGATTTCAAAGATGTTTTTTACTTCCATGTTACTTTCTGCCATTTAATGCATTGTCAATAGTTCAATCAAATACCGACATTTTATTTATTTTATTTGAATTTAATTCAGCAAACCCTTGTTCAGTATATATTTTGTTGTTATTATATCCTTTCTATTTTTTAAAAAAAATTTTAAATTTATCATAATTATTAATATTAAACTTAAATGAATTTATAGTTTATAATAAAGTATCTAACAAATACGCGACGGAGCGGGTAATGAAAGATTAATTTAAAAATACTAACATGCCTTTAATTTAACTCTATAACTACAAAATAAAATGTTTCTAGTATAATTAGAAATTCTTTATAAGAATCTGCAGATAGTTCCGATTGTCTTAGATATTCGCATTATTCAGAAATTTTGAATAGTAGTTAAAGATTTGGAATGTAAAAACTAAGTATTTAAACTGTTTCCTTTCAAATATACCAAATAATATAATATCCTATACTATAATAGTTCTATACTTTCCCCACATATCTAAATGAATTATTCACGAAACATTTTTGAAAATTAATTTTAACTAAATATTTAAATTAAATAATAGTTAAATGCATGCATTATTAACTTTGACTGAGGAAATTTCCTCGAAAGTGTTTGGTTATGTATTATTATGTACTTTTTTATAATACCTGGTAGAAGGAATTGCAACCAAAAAAGGTTTAGTGCTGTTGTAAAAATTTTAAAAATTAGACTGAATCAGATAATTTAATAAAATGCAATGATTTCTGAATAAAATGATCTTAGTTTGTACTTTTGAAAACTGTATTTAAACTACGTTAAGATTTTTACCATTTTAACTAATTAAATTTATGATTTTTTTTAATATCTAAAAGTAATTTGCGTAATAAGTTGCCTGAGAGACATTTTTACATCTTATGACATTTAAGACGTTCTTACACAAAACATGCTTATTATAATGTATAATGCTAAGCATAGAGGCATGAACACAAATTAAAAACTATGAATATAATCGAAAAATAGTTTAATATCATGTATGTAACTAATGTAATTTTTTTACAATGCATATAGTTTTAAAATATATATATTAAAAAAGCATAGTATAGTTTTTCAATAATTAAGTGATAAGGTAAGGATTTTCTCAAAAGTTAATTTACAAAAAACTATAATCACAAAAATATTAGTGCAACGGAAACTTTTTGTAATTTAAGTAAAAAGAATTATTGCGTTTCCAAAGTAACCACTCGTATATTTTCGTTTAAAATTTTTTTGGCGACATTTTTTTAAAGAAAGTTGAGATCGAACTGTATGAACGAATGCCGTTACTTTTTATATTACTATTTTATGATCAAGTAAATTTATGTTGTTTTTTAATTTTTTCAGATAGTGCATAAAGAATATGTTTAGTCTACTTAGTATATCTGTATTGACGTGGGGATTAGTTTCCTCTCAATATTTATCATCAGAAGCCCAAGTTAGGCCTTTAACATTTGCCATGCGCAAATTAGCATTTTCAACAAATCAATTTGGAATAGATCTTTACCGTGCTTTAAAAGTACCGAAAAATGAAGGTGTGGCGTTTTGTCCATTTTGCATAAGTACATCCTTAGCCATGATTCTCTTGGGAGCACAAGGAAGATCTGCAAATGCCTTACAACAAGCTTTATATTTATGGGGAGTTCGTCAAGAAGATGTGCATATTGCCTTCCATGATTTGCTAATTCACCTTCGAGACAATTTGCAAGTAACTCCTGGCCATCACATAGCAGATCACATGGGCAACAACAATGGCGGTTACCGACAAGATTATGGAGTTCAAGATTTTGAAATTGTACTATTTAACAGCATTTACGTTCAACGAGAATACAGTATTCTTTATCATTATCAAAAGTTTTTACATAGCTTCTATAACACATCTGTTCATCCACTAGATTTCAGTATGTACGGCGAAGAAAGCAGGCTTCATATTAATGCCATTGTTGAGAAACAAACAAAAGGAAATATAAAAAATATTCTTGCCCAGCCTTTGCCTAAAACTACAAGTGTCTTGCTTCTTAATGCTTTATCGTTCGATGGTATATTAGATGCAACAGGCTCTACTATTTCTCAGCCTCAAGAGGACATCCATCGTCATTCACAATTTAGCCAATATCCTCAAGGACCTCATTCTTTTGGAATGAATTATGCTTATCAACAAACTCATAGCAGATTACCACCAATGGGAGGACTTTCATCTTACTTTGCACCATCAATTTCTCAAGTTGTTCCTTACGCAGCCGCCAGTGCTTATCAGAGCCATAACTTCATCACAGCACCAACCAGAACTAGACAAGGAGGACTACGCCACGGAACATATGACTATCTTGGATGCACTGGTGTAGAAATACCTTTCAGAAGTGGAATGCTGTCTCTTGTTATTTTGATTCCATCTGACACAAGTAGTATCAACATGTTAGAAACCAGACTAAATGCTCAACACATCACTGATATTTTGGGAACAATGCAATCCAGAAACGTCATCTTAGAAGTAAGTTATTTAGTTGTTATGAGCAACTTGTATTTACAAAATTAGGTTTAATAAACAGTTTGATAAATATCTGTCGTCATCGAAAATTAAAGCTCTATTAATATCATTGAAAAAGATATTTTAAATCCATGATTCATACATTACCACATTCAAAGTATAGCTTAATCAGTGCACTGATGCATGTAAACTAAATGGAATTAATGTTATATAATTAATATCCTAAAATGTGAGAAGATCACTTTTTCTCGGAAAGACATATTTTATTCTATTTTATTTTATTTAAATGGCAAAATGCAAATGTTATAAGGTAATGAGCCTTCCCACTAAAAAAATACAAAATTGCTTATTTTTCAAAAAAATAAATGCTGAAACTATTTATACTATATGAAACTATTTTTACTATTTATCTATACATTTATTAATTAAAAATTTTATTTAACTTGTAAGATTTCAAAATGAATCTTTTGCGGTAAAGCAATTTTTAATCAATTCTTAAAAAAAATTCATTTTGGATTAAATGAAATGCGCTTTGAGCTTATTAAGTCCGTATATTTAGATCTGTGTATTTTAAAAACATTACTTCAAACCCAAAATAGAAAGGGAAAACTACAAAAGAGATAAAAATTATTCAAGACTAAATTTTATGTTAAATAATGAAAAATAGTTTTTAAATAATGCACATTTTTTCAGCGTGAAAACTTAATAGTGCACATTTTCTAACGTGAAAAGCTTACATTTTTATATCTTTTAGATGCCTCCTATATCTTTCGAAGACAGCCCAAAGAATTTGACCCAAGCTCTTTTCAGAAGTGGTCTAGTAGATCTCTTTACACCAGGATTCGCAGAACTTCTCGGCATGAGTGACTTTAGATGGTTGCACATCACTAACCTTATCCATAAGATAAACGTAAATATTAAGAATGGAAATGGTATCCAAGCACCTGCAACTGGTCAAGAAACAATACACATGAATGTCCAAGACAAGCCTTTCCTTTTTTTCGTCATCGATAATATAAGTGGACTAGCCTTAGTTATGGGCAAAATGGCCGGTAGACGGATATAATTGAATAACAAATAATTCTATTTTCGAACAAGTATATGTTACATTGAAAACTCCAAGGTGTGCTAAGTTATTTGATGTGGTTTTCAGGTTTTGTTCTTCTTCAAAGTGATAGAATTGCTTCCATATTTTACTTTGATTAAGTTTACGCTTCTATATTATTTTTTCTTTCCTTTTTTTTTTCTTTTTTTAATTTTGTGAATCGACATATTTGCATTTTTCGGCAGCAGAAAAGCATCATTTTTTTTTACTATAAAAGTATTTATGCATAAGAACGCAAAAACTGTTTATTTTCTTCTGTTTTTTAACTTCATGAATTTCATAAAATGGTTTAAAAAGTAAATTTATTGCTATATATGTCTCACTTATGTACATATTCACAATCTTTCTGTATTCATATGAAATAAAAGGTTTTGTATCAAATTATTTTGAAATTTATTTAGAATACTTTCACACAACCTTGTTTAATATAGGACATTATATTTGTTGAATATTTAATAAATAATAATGAGTACTTAATAAACAATGTGAATTATTAAATACAAGGCAACGAGAAATAACTTCGCAAGAGAAATAACATAACTTTCAAGTCACATATGCACTTTAATTGTAACTATTTATCTCCACCAAATTTTCAAATAATAATTGAAACATATTGAAACATTTATAAACATATGAGTAGCATTCAAATGAAACCCGGTCAGTAACGGTAACGATTTTATTAACTCACAAATGTAGTTATACCACAGTACACATACTCAAAAATAGTGGCCAAAACTGTTGGCACATTTATCCCATTGCGACACTATAGCCGGTCGATTCCATCTTTGAAGAAGCTAGCAGGCTATGGTCGGATGCAGGCCTGGACCCAGTCACGCACGTCGTCGTCCATTGTGAATCGATATCCGCGAATAGCGTGTTTTAGAGATCCAAGAACACGAAAGTCACACAGTGAAAAGTCTGAACTGTACGGTGGATGTTCCAGCTTACCTAGCTCTCCATCACTCCTTGTTGTTCCTACTTACTCGCCTACATGATCCGTAGTAGACGATAACTTGCATGACCACCTTCTCTTCGGCGTGCAACCACACTGTCGCTATGCAACGTCAAGCATTGAGCATGCGTCAGTCTCTCTGCCAATTAATGGTGCCGCCATACACACAGTTACGTGGTGCCCCATTAAGTCTAATGCAAAGTTAGCAGCACTGACCAGGTTTCATTTGAATGACCCTCATACTTGGGACATATTTACAAAAATATCAAAGTGACCAACTTAGGCCTAAAAGCGCAGTTGTAAGCATGCCACCAACCCTTTTTCCATGCCTTGCAACTCATATACTCTTACTAGTTCCATTTATTAAACAAGAATTTTTAGGAATAACAAAATGTTCACAAACACTTTGTTATTCCTAAAAATTTAGCACAAGATGGAAAACCGTCTGGCGGAGACCATTCTTGTGCTACAACACCGTTCCTTTACCTCTATGAGCTGAAGCAGAACAAACTTTTATAGACACGTTTTTAACACAAGCTAGGATCAATATTTTACATTAAAAAGAAGTGAAAATTTAGGGATAGATTAAGATATTTTAAACTTTGATTTTTGATCTCCAGTTGATCTTGGAGGCTCGAAAAGTTTGGAAACCCTTGCTCGAATCCAATTGTTTGCCCTGCGTAAGTTAACTGCTAGAGATGAATAATATATTCGGTAACCCCTCTTTTTTACCTGGTATTAAATTTTACCTGTTATGAAAATAACATTTTACTCTCCAACGTCTGTTACAAAATACTAAGCGAAAGTACTATACGAATATATTATCAAAAGCTCATTTGTTAAACTTTTCTGCTTTGTTTAATCTTTTATTCAGGTTTGAGTACTTTAAACAATAACAAATGTAATGAAAAAGATTAATATATTTTCTTCGTGTATTAGGAGATAGTTTGCAAAAGACTTCGTGTTGCAGCTGTTACTAAGACTAGCATAGGTTAACCACTCAAAATGTTCTTAGAGGATCACGTGTAATTTAATATGCTATAAACAATATGAACGCAGATGGCGGTTGCTCGGAATAATTTGAGATGATAAACGTATCTGTTCTAGTATTTGTTCCTTCTATTTTAAAAGATTTCAAAACTCTATAGATATGGGAACATATATTCATAACTGTTATGGTTTATTATCGGTTAACAGCTCTAACATGTTATTTAAGAACAGTTGTCACAGCCCATTCTATTCATATGCATACTCCTCACTCTAATATTATTAGTATCTCGGTGGTCTTCAACCTTTCTAATTCATAAATTCAATGACATTTGCCTACAAAGCGTTTAAATTAGCGACAATTCAGTTACCATTTACATGAGTATAAATTAGCAATCTATTAAACTTTTCCCAAACAAATATTTTGTACTATGAAAAAGAATTATTTAATCATTCCTTTAAAAGCTAAAACAATATTTGCTTCGTTATTTGGTTCATGCTTGATGTTGACACAAATTACTCTTGATGTCTATTTTATTTTGCGTTGCAAATTAATTTTGATTCCTTTTTTTCGGTAATAGGACTATTTAATTATTTATTTCTTTTTATAGGAATATTAAACTTTCCTTTAAAAGTTAAAACAATACTTTTAATTTTGTTTCATGTTTGATAATCTGATTTCTCAATAATGGCTTATAAATATTATTGTTTTTTCTTTCATTTTACAAAAACATTACGTTTCAAGCATTTAGTTAACAATTTCTAGGGGGCTTAAAAGTGGTTATTCGAGATGCCCAAAAAGTAGGTGTGAAATTTATTTTTTTAAGAATCAATCAATTTTTATTGAACGAATATTAAATTAAAATACCATCTATAAGAAATTTTTATACTTTACATAAATTGAGATTTCGACAGTCAATTATTTTAAATTCTAAAAGCTTTGGATGCATATTCACGTTAAAGATCATAAAAGAATTTATCCACTCTATAGAATAACCGTTTTAATAAATTTCCTTACACAAATTACATTTTATCAGGAAAAAAGAGACGAAGAACTTGAATTTCAGTTACGTCTGTAGCGGACAGAAAAAGCTTTCAAAATTAAATTAATCTCTTAAACCATCAATTTAACGTTTTGCGATCAATTACTCAATATGCTCTAGCAAAGAGAAATTTAAAAAAAAATTTCCTAACTATTCTTGCTGCATTTTTATTTTCTCCATGAAATAGTAAAAACTAATGGGAACTAGATGTAACTAAAATTGTTAATAAAAAATTGACTTTCGCTATGCAGGGTCAAAAGCTGAGTAGGAGATAAGAAATTTAGTGCAAAAAGTGTAAGAAAAATGCTAATTAACATTTTGGTTTAGACTAAAATAACTAACCTCACCTTTTTTCCACATTTTTTAATTTATTTTTTAAAAATTAAAATCGCTAAAAACACCTTATACTTATTCCAACACTCTTTTTTCATAATAATTTACCTACCCTATAAAATACTTGTTGCAATGAATTCTTTTAAAAAAACTCCGTTTTATCATTCTTCAATGAACAAAAAAGCTTTAATTAACCACCAAATTGTATAGAACATTTATTCAATATGATTTGTGTCCAATTAGGAACGAAAACATTACCTATTATGCATTGCACTATTCTCGATATATTTTTATCTTTACTGAAAAACAATTAAAACTAAAGAGTAATTAAAAGATTTAGAAGAAAACAACTAACTATCGTCATTGAATATCGAAAATTGAATGCTGGGAAATTAGTTTAAAAAATTAAAAGCTGCTCAAATTAACATTTTGAGTTAAATAAAGTTGATTTAAAATGACAAACCATACACCAGTTAGATATAGGACCATTTTTTCTAATAATGTAATTTCAAAGCATTGTTGGGATTAGTTTATGGGAAGAAATTCCTTTAGCTAATTGCCTAAAATTAATTTGATTTCAAAGACTATATTTTTGTGGGAAGGTGGATGAGTTTAGTTCATTGGTACAACATACATTTGCAGGCTTGTATGCTCAATTAGGGCTTATAAACCTTTGTCAAGTAGAAGAACACATAGCACAATACAGAGAAGGACATCACAAAGAATATATCCAGAGTTACGGCGGGTTTTTGGCGAACGATACCGCTCGGCCAGGGAGGTCCCTGGATGAGATTTTCAAAATGTTACCAATTGTAAGAAATTAGGCTTATAAATAATCGAATTTATAACCAAATATTCAGCAGATCATCGAAGTCAAGCATCACTGACTACGGTCAGTGTGCGGGTGGGTGACCACTTGGATCAGTCTGCGTAGGGACCGAGGGTGTGCGGTATTGGTCCTCGTTAAACTGTGCTACCGTTAAGTGCTCGACTTCGCGCGCAGGTCGTCGGGCTACCGAAGCGGGGGTGCCATCCCCTCCGCAGAGGATCAAAATTGTGATGGCATGTCTTCGGATCATCATCCGGGATGTTTCCCAGACTGTCGCCAATTGCCCATTGTGCAGCTCTAGGGCGACGTAAATTAACAACAACAGCGACAATAACCGAATATTATTGGATTTTCTGGAAATCATATGGATAAAAATAGCTTCCCATCGATTTTTCACATTTTTTTAAATATCATTTCAGTGAGGAGAAGGTTGCTATATTTTGCTAACTTGCTTTTATGTTGGCTATTTTATAGTTTCTTACGTGTTATTGACCTCTAACGCATACCTAAGTATAGACATAATAATTTTTTAATATTAAGTAAAACAGAAATAAGAGTTATAATAGTTTCAATAAATAACTCATAACTATTTTATTTTACCTTAATACAGTTAGCAAAATGGATAAAAAATATTATGAGCATGTGTGACTAGGAAGGGAAAGCAAAATAACACCAGTGTTTTCAAATGGTTCGAGTATGTTTGATGCTTGCACATCGATCTAGTCTAGTTGATTGTTGTATTTATATTTGGTATCAATATCAGGACACCAAGGCCTTCCACTATATTATCGCGCAATGTAATAATTTCTGGGGTTTTGATCACCACGAGAATTCTGTAAACAACCATTCTAGATGCAAAAATGAGGACGTCTTTTCTCCAAACATCCGGACTCATGATCTTGAGACTCATATTGCAAACACTGCAATAAAAACCGCACTTCTGACCAGCGGGATTGTCCTGCATTTCTAAACTTTGATAAAATAATGAAATCCGAAGCAAAAGATTATATAAAACGCGTGCTGAGTTAAAATCGGAACTTGACAACTTCTCGGGGTCCATAGGGCAATTAGTTGGAAGTACCTGAGCAAAACATCAATGCTGGTGGATTTGATTTTATTTCATAACCGTCGTTGAACAGCCGACCCAATTCTTCGGGTTAACGATTACCAATGTTCAACTCCGTAGCTTTGTAATTTTGAACCCGATCCAGCAGACAAGGGAACTTCTGGATCAATTATTGGGAGAAATTTGCCTTCGTGGAGGACTTTTTGATGGAACTAACCCGCATTTGTGTTAATGGAGAGGAAAACAACGATATCCTCCTACGTTTTGCCTGACAGCAAGGGAACTCTAACCCATGATCCGTTTACCACTGAGGATATTTTACGTCAGCACTGTGGTCTGTGCAAGCCGGAGGCGGAATTTCAATCGACCAGCCATCGCTGTGATTCGAACCCTATTCAACTAATTAGAAGGTGAACGCTCTATCCCTTCAATTATGTAATTTTATCAAACAGCTAATCCACAATCACTACTCTCACCTTGGCTACCCATTAATCTCCTCATAGCATCCTCCTGTTACAAAAAAAACATTGTTTCCGCAAGTGCCACCGTAAAATCCCTTTCTACTGCTTGGATCCCGGGTCACTTCAATATACCCTTCAATGAAACCGCACATAGGCTGTCAAAATTAGCTGCAGCTCGAACCTTTAGACCTTTATCTCTCCCAAAGATGTCTCATATTCATTACGCTCAGACTCAAACCACGAACTCAATAATACATGTATCAACTCGAAGCATCATAAACGGTTCCATTCAATTAACAAAATCTCACTTAGCCAACCCCCAAACCGAAAATATGATAATATAGTCTCTGAAAAAAACACAATTCAATTAATTGCAGTTTGGAACCAGATCGAACTTGCAAACTTCCCGTTTGTGACAATTGTCATTCCCCAGAGTCTTCTTTGAGTGCAAAATGTTTGATCTATATAGACAAGATCTGCGCACCTCATTCGGGGTTTTCTTCTGCTACGACGAACACGAAAACCTTTTGAAAAAATGAGTGTTCTTTTTGAGCTTAACTAAACTATTCTAGTTCCAACTTCTTACCTTTAAGGAAATCTAACAATGTTTTATTTATGACAGGTGAAGCCTTGGTGTTCCTGCGTCTCTCCAAAAGAACACATATTTTGTTTCGTTTTTCTACAATCTCTGAAAATTGCAAACTATGCAACCTTTACTTATTTTCCACCCTCGTACTTCAATTCCTCATTATCTTTAATGTTCTTGGTTACAATCGATGCACCGAATCAGCTTTACTTTTCCATGATCACCTCGCAGCTTCACTTCCTTCCTGCTCAAAGCACAGAGGATAAAAGCGAGTAACACAGATCCTCATCATCATCAACTCATCCTAATTCCTTATCATCACTAACTCATGCCAANTGACTTCGGTGATCTGCTGGGAACCGTGTCTTAACGATCAGTCCACTGCGGGACAGCGACAGTCTGGGAAACATCCCTAAGGGTGATCCAGAGACATGCCATCACAATTTTGATCCCCTGCAGAGGGGATCTTATCTCTCGAAGCACAGAGAATAGAAGCTAGTAGCACAGATCCCCTTCACCATCATCAACTAAACTCATTTTGTAGCCTCTCTGGCTAAACGGTATCACCCGCCAAACTCTCTATAGAATGGAGGTAGCGGGTTCGAATCCCGCCGTAACCCTGAATGTAACTTCATGCTGTCCTTCTCTGAATCATACTATTTGTCAAAGGCTTATAAACTGTACCTATGTAATTAAGCAGACATGCCTGCATGTATGTGTACCAATTAATAAATGCATCCTAGTTGTCCAGTGGTTAGAGCATTGAACTTCGGTCTAAAGGGGCCAGGGTTCAAGCCTTGACTCCACTAAGACCCACCAAGTACATGCGATATACAAGCTCGCAAAATTTGGGGAATTGAAAGTACTGTGGTCGGTAGCTGAGCGGTACCATGAGTACAGGTATCTGGAAAAAATTTCCTTTCCCTTCAGTTCTATGTCTAAATTAAGGAAGTGGTCTCACAAATGAGATTCCCTCTGCAGAGTTTCAAAATTGAAATGCTATGTCTTCGGATCAGCCTCAGGGATGTCTCCCAGACCATCGCCAAAAGCCCAATGTGCATCTCTAGTACCACGTAAATAAAGTACCTACCTATAAATAAATCAACTCGTCTTCATTATCATCAGTCCCGCAGTGGATTGATCATAAAGACACGATTCCCAGTAGAACAGCGAAGACAAACATCGCTAGCTGCAGTCAGTAAACAGGTGAGTGACCATTTTGATCAGCCTGCGTAGGGACCGAAGGTGTGCGGTATCGATCATCGTTAAACTGTTCTAACGCAAAGTGCTCGACTTTTCGCACACGTCGTCGGGCTACTTAGGCATGGGAGTGATCCCCTCTGCAGAGGATCAAAATTGCGATGACATGACTTCGGATCATCCTCAGGGATGTTTCCCAGACCTTCGCCAATAGCCCGTTGTGCAGCTCTAGTGTGACGTAAATAAAGTGCCTACCTTCTTATCATCAATTCATGGCCTCAGGCGCCCAGATAGATATCGATGATGATTATGATTACCATCATCAACAACTCAACTCACAAAAGCTAAAATTGATGGAAGTTTCCACATCATGCGTGGCATGAAATTCGAGTGTAGATCAGTGGTGGTTTTATCGAATGTTTATCGAATTTTATGATTGCTAAGATTTTAACTAAAGAATTTTAAAAGATTTTAATAAAATATCTCTGCAACATGAGCAATCAACGAAGCTGTATTCTGTTTATTGCGCTTGTGGTTATTTGTAAGTTATATATTTAAAATTATTATCTACAAATGTTTATAAATTATATATTAACCTAAAATATAGTAATTTTCATTTTAATGTACGTTTATAACCATAATGATTGCTTAACTAAACTTTAAGAGCAATAATTTGCCCTAAAAGTTCAATTATCATGAAAAATGATAATTGAACTTCAAATCCTGAATAAATCATGAAAAATAATAAATCGTGAAAAATGATCTAGTTTTATAATGTGCATTAAATAGTTTTTAGATAGAAATATTTAGCAAAAGAAATTTAAAATATTTTCCTGAATCTCATTCTTTTCATTTAAAAACAATTTTGATTACAAAGTATTTTTCAAATAGAAAACATCTATATCTAAATATATATAGCGGAATAAAATGTTTTTAACTTAGCCAACTGTAAACTGTATAATGCTTTTTAATTTACATATGCTTTTCTAATATACTGTGAACTCTAATTGACTTTGGTATATTTCCGAACCGGTGTATACCAAACCGGATATAGTCGCCGGATTCCGGACCGGTATATCCGGTGACTTTGGGTGTATATATATACCAGACTTCTAGTATATGTTTTAGCAAATTTTGACACTTTCGCTGGCTTTTAAAGGTTTTTTTAAATTGTTTAAAAATATTTAACATCTTGTAATTTTTGAGCTCTAATTACATTTATATCAAAGTATATAAATATTATGCAAATTTTATGACTCTTTTAGCTTTAAAAACCATTTTATTTAGATTAAGTACAATTCTAATAGTCGATATACATCGATTTGCATAATAGTTTATCCTCATTTTTAGCGTGAAGAAATAATATAACATTAATAAAACAATATAATCTTACAAAAATATTTTGATGTTTATAAAATAATATCGCAACTTTGCTGTACCGTTAACTAGGTTTCTACTCACCTACCTTACCATTTACACTTTACCTAGTTATAGTTACTTAATTTGCATAAAAAAATACTGCAATATAGATTTATTTGCTAAATTTCAATTACAGCAAATAAAAGTTGCTCTTAAAAGTTTTCATGAATTAAATGTTACCTCAATTCAGTGTTTTTAAATAATGGGAAGACTATATTTAATTTTCCTAAAAAAATATAGTTTACAAACTTTGAATAACTTGCAAATTATTACAGTAGAAGCTTCATTTTTATTTAAACTTATAATATTTTACTGAAATGTTTTTTAATCCAAATGCATTGTCTTGTAATTTACCGAAACACAAATATAAATTTCAACAAATTATATTTAAAATAAATGTATAAATTTCTTTTCAAAACACTGTTCACATTCTAAAATATTTTTTAACTGTGCCATTAATTTTGAAAATGAAATAAATCCATTTGGAAAAGGGAAAAAGTTGAGGGTAAAGGTTTTAATAAAATCTCGACAACGGTAAATCAATTTGTGTGATGTTTTTAACACTATAGTTAAATGAAACCTCAATGTGACAATGACTAAAATCGTAAAACAATCAACGACTTTTTAGCTTCAAATGGACTTTCACAAATAACAACTCAAACTAAGAACCATTTTTAGGGCAGATTATTGCAGCTGCTGTAATAAGTTTGTTGAATAGAGCGACGTCAATATTTTGTAAATTGGGAAAAATTTTATTTTTAGAAGTTCTAATAAACAATATAACTTGGTTTCCAATGTTTCAAAACTAAGCGATGAAATTTATACAAATTTTGGTTGTTGATATTTTGCTTACTTTTTATCAAATATATTGCACGTCTCTCATATCTCTAAAAACATTGCGTTTTATCCTGTTAATATATATATATGTCTCTTGAATTTGTAAAGATATTGAATTTTATCAGCAATCTGCAAATATATAATGTAGTCCTCTTGAATCTTCGAATCTGCAGTTGGTAAATTTAAAATTGAACGGCCTAAATAAATTTTGATATGATTGGAATTATATATTATACATAACACAACACTCACTTGATAAACAGGATGCCCTAATTATATGGAAACAGTCAAATGTTTGCGTTGAATCGAAATTCTTAAAATACATGACATATTTTTACAATGCAATCACAACTAGACCTTACTCTTTGAGGCGGGTAAATTAGAAATCTCAACCACTAATTCTTATTGCAGATTTTCCAGAATTTTTTGTTGCAGATTTGTATTTAGTTGTGCAAGAGCGATATTATAATTTTTAGCCTCTGTAAACTGTATTAAATTTTATGTGTAATTTCTATCTAGTTCTGTTACGACTAGTTTGACTTTGTCTTAAATTTTCCCTCTGTACTAGTTAATTTTTACAAACTTATTTTATTTCAAGAATTATTGCCTATGTGCATTAATGTTTCTTTAATATTGTCTCTTAAAAATGACTTATGTGTATTTTACTGTAATTATAAATATTTTGTGCCGAAAAAGCTTCTTTACATAAAGTACTGTTCTTTGTGCTTCATTAGGCCAGGAACTTTCAGTTTTGTGTTAAGTAGTTAACACCGTTTTTGGTGACACTTTTTATTTCTTCTTCCACTAATTTATATCAAGTTTATCAACCCAATTTTGGATTAACGGCAAATGTTCAACTCCGTAAGCTTGTAACCAATCCAGAAGACAAGGGAACTCCTGGATCAAGTATCGAGAGAAATTTGCTTTCGTGGAAGAATTTTGATGCAACTAACCCGCATTTGCGTTAAATGGAAAAGAAAACCACGAAAGCCTCCCACGGTTAGCCCAACGGCAAGGGGACTCTAACCCATGTTCCGTCAACCACTGATAATATTTTACGTCAGCACTGTGGTCGGTGCAATCAGTATGCGGAATTCGTAACGATCAGCCATCGCTGGGATTCGAACCCGATCCATTTCATCAAAAGGCAAACTTTACTGTATATTACCCAAACTACATTTTTTATACCTGCTGAACAGTATTTTTTACTACTAAATTTTAATATTGATAAATAGGAACGGGTAAATGCCAAAAAACTGCTGACACTCTAAAGAATGAAATACTCAAAACGTTATTAAAAGTAAATTTTTAGGAAATTGGAAAAGTCAATACTCCTTATACGTAAATTTTACGTATTAATGGAATGGATTTTGCAAACTACCCTTCAGTAAGATTGCTTTTGTATATTTCATGATAAGTTTGACGAAAGAATATTTACTATTTTTTTAATAAAAATAATTGTGTGTTTTACGTTCCATTGCCAAATCAAATTTAGAATTTAAATTTTGGTAAATTTCGGTTCGAGTTCATTTACCCAATTTTTCTGTTTTCTTGGATAACCACTTTCTTCCATAATTTGACACATTTCAACTTGCGTACATTTTGCCGTACTGTCGACGTAAATATGTAAAAATAACTTATTCTTTCATTAGTAAAAAGTGATTGGTAAAATATTCTTAAAATAAACGAATTTGTTTACGTTATATTTTACGTAAATTATCCGTTTTTTGAAAAATTAAACGTTTTAAGTTACGCAAATTTCGATGTATTGTTGACATAAATATTATATAAAAATAAAACACTCATTCTATTCTAGTAAAAAGTTATTGGCAAAATATTCGTAAAAGAAACGAATTTGTTTACGCAATATTTTACGTTTTTTAATAGTCAATTTTTGCTATAATTCGACGTTTCAGTTTCACATAAATTTTACGAATAGTTAATAATAAAATTTGGAGGTGAAATATACGTATTTTCGCGTAATATTAATGGTTCTGTTTTACTTGGGTTCATTTTTTTCGTGGTAAATAAACTCCCACTACAATATTTTCCTGAAAAATTTGACAGATGTGGAGAAGGGCTTTAAACTCAAACAAATTCAGATTCTGTTTAAAATGAAAAATTTTATTAAATAGTTAAAATTAAAAATTTAAGTTCGTAGCTTATAATTTTTTGTAAGATTTGTTATAACCGATTTAACAAAATAAACACCTCACAAGACGTTATATTGCTTTCTAAAATTTAACCTTTTCAAAAAATTTTTTTTCCTCCGAAAAGCACAAATTTAATTAAACTAATCAAACTTGAAAACACAATTCATCTTGTAAAATTTTCACAGCAATTATATATTCAATCCGCATTTACATAAAATCTTCTCCTGAAATTAAACACTATTTTATTTTTGAGCATTAGTTAGGTTTTCAAATAATTAGTTCACTATTCAGAATGTAGCATGCGTGCAATGTAACTATGCATTTTTTTTTACTTTAAACTCTGACGTAAAACATTTTATAATTACTAACTTTTTAAATTTTGAGCATTTTTCTGCTGCGTTTAGCTGTTTAATATTCCAAAAGTCTCCCGCGTAGAATTATACGAAGTTAAGTTGTGCAAAAACTACTTTAGGCAGCAGCAAAATTTTATTTTTTAAATGTGCTTTTGAGAAAATATAACTTTGCTTATTAAACCAGTGGCTAATGCAAAAATCCTTGTGAAATACGTATTAGTTTACAGTAAAATAAAACCTTAATCAATAATTTAATAAATACTTGATAGAGATGTACTTATGGTATAAGAATGTTTGCTTCATTGAACATAGACAAGGAAAAATATTTTTACACTTATTCTAAATTTATTATCGCATGTAAACAAAATTTTGCCCTTGCAACATTAGCGATGCAATCTGACGATATATTATACAGAACATAATGCATAGTAAAAGTCTTGTTCTTAGTAAATATTTTTAATTGCAATAGTAAATCATGAAACATTAAGAAATTTAACTTTAGTTTGGTACAATGAAGGTTTTTGGTAGGTTGAAGGTTTGGTTTAGAAAAAGTGTGGGAACCCTAATACATTCCAGCCAGCCTTAAAAAACCACCAAGGGTGAAATGCTTGTAGATTTTCAATTTTAAATATTTATTTACAAATATTTATGTAAAAAAAAACTTAAAGTCTTTAGAGGTCCTCCAAAAGTAAACTACTTCCTTTTTAATAGCAACTCACGCGCATTTAGTAAGAGCTGGCTGTCCGTGAGCATTTGAACTGATTATTTCATTTATCTTG